CGGCTTTGACTTTGACGATGCATCGGATAGATTCCGAACAAAACTTGAGTATTCCGCTGCTTTTTCGATAGGTGATTTGACGTCCATGTGCAATATTCTGGGCTTGGATTACGCCGGTACCAAGGAAGAGTTGCGACAGAAAATTATACGGGCGCTAATGGACATTCAATCGTTAACATTACAAGAGGACGACGATGATGCTGAAGCCGAAGATGAATTTGACGAACCAGAAGCACCAGAAGAGCCGCAACAACGACAACAAGTAAGAGTCGAGCGAATTGGTAACGTAGGCAGTCTACGAACGAACGATGATCTTTCTTCGCTTAGCGGCAATGATTCCGAGGGCAGTGACCAAAACATACCGAGACATAGAGGGCAAAATAGCTCAAGGATCACTTTTAACTTTAAAGATGTACAAAAGTTAGTGTTCGCCCGCAAGTCTCTCAAGGGTGTTGCTAAAGTATTTGTTCGTGGGCTGAGTATCACGCAGTCCTGGGAAAAATTGAAAGCTGCGTTAAAAGAGGAATTCAGTCGCAAAGTGAGTAGTGCCGATATACACCGGAAACTGGCCAAAAGGAAATTAAAGAAAGATGAGAATCTCCAAGAATATTATCTGGCCATGAGGGAATTGGCTTCTCAAGGAAATATCGATGTCGAGTCAGTTATCCAGTACATTGTCGATGGTATCCCGGAGAATAGCAGCAAAGTAGTGTTGTACGGGGCTCGAGACTATAACGAATTTAGAGCTCGCCTGCGTACGTACGAAAGAATACAGGAACGAGGTGCCATCAGCAGCAGAAGCAATCAAAAGAAGGAATTAGCAGGTAAGCCAGCCAAGGACGACGTTAAACCGACAAAGGATGACCAAAAAAGCAGACGAGGGCGACAGATCGTTATAACTGCGGCGAGAGTGGACATAAAGCGAACATGTGTAAATTTAAGAACCAAGGGAAAAAATGTTTTAAGTGCAATAGCTTTGGTCATGAGTCTAAGAATTGTCCGGATAAAGACGATTAAAAAAATACGCAGGTAACAACTAACGTTCTTCTAAAATCTGTCAATGTAAGCCGAATGTTTAAAGAAATTGTGATTGAAGGCAGAAGTTTCTATGCACTATTAGACACAGGTAGTCATCTCTCTTTGATGCGCGAGGATATTTTTATGTCTATTAATGCCTCAAGGCTGTGTGAGTCAAAAGTGCTTTTGACCGGTATTGCTCAAGGTCAAGTTAAGACGCTCGGACATTTTCAAACGACAATCGTAGTAGATAGTTTTAATTTTCCGTTAACATTTTATGTGATTCCTTCAAAAAGCCTTGGACGTTGCTATAATTTTAGGTACTGATTTTATTAACCAGGCTGAAGTAATAATTGATCAGAATGGTATTACAGTTAATAAACCTAGCGCTTTAGTTTCCTTTCACAGATCAAGTTGCAGCCAGAAAAGAATGAAACAATTTACACGGATTTGATGATTGACAAGGAATCTAGAAGCACTGTAAAAAACATGATGCTGACGTATAAGCCCAATAAGGTTAAGACGACCAATATTGAATTAAGTGTAATGTTGAAAGATGAGACGCCTATTTATCAAACTCCACGACGATTACCGCCGAAAGAAAGAGACATCGTTGAAAAGCAGGTGAATGATTGGATAAACGAAGGAATTGTTGAGCCATGTTCATCCGATATGCAAGCCCCGTGGTAGTTGCTAAAAAGAAAGATGGTTCACCGCGATTTTGCATTGATTATAGAAGATTAAATAAAGTAATGATCAAAGACAAATATCCGTTACCGGTAATTGAGGACCAAATCGACCGATTAGCAGAAGCTCGTGTATTCAGTACAATTGATCTTAGGAATGGATTTTTTCATGTGAACGTAGCAGAGCAAAGTCGCAAATATACTGCTTTTGTTACCCATCGAGGCCAATATCAGTTCTTAAAAGTACCCTTTGGTTTGTGTAATTCACCACCTGTTTTTCAAAGACACATAAATCATGTTTTTCGACCTTTGGTCAATGACGGTATTCTGTTGATTTATCTAGACGATTTGATTATAATTGCGCCTAATATCAAAGAAGGTACTATACGCTTACAGAAAGTACTCCAAGTCGCAAGTGATTACGGATTAGATATAAATAAAAGTAAATGTCAGCTGTTGCAATTAAGAATAGAATATCTCGGACATATCATAGAAAATGGAGAGGTACATCCGTCTCCTAGTAAAGTGCAAGCTGTTTTGAATTTCCCTGAACCACGTTCATTGAAAGATGTCCAAAGTTTTCTCGGACTCTCGGGCTATTTTAGAAAATTTATTGAGTCTTATGCAATTAAAGCAAGACCTTTGAGTGACATGCTAAGAAAAGAAAATACATTTCAGTTTGGCTTTAAAGAAAGGGAGTCTTTCGAACAATTAAAATCGGATTTAAGTCACAGCCCGGTATTGAAGATCTTCAATGAGAAATTCGACACAGAGTTGCACACTGACGCGTGTAAAGACGGTTTCGGAGCAATTTTATTGCAAAGAAGTCCTGATGATGATAAATTGCATCCCGTATATTACATGAGTCGTAAGACGTCAGAAACAGAATCTAAGTATACCAGTTATGAGCTTGAAATTTTAGCCGTGATAAGAGCTTTAGAGAAATTTCGCCACTACTTATTGGGCATGAAATTTAAAACATCACGGACTGCGTAGCTTTTAAACAGACTATGAATAAAGTTAAGTTATCCGCTAAAGTTGCAAGATGGGCCCTGTTAATTGAAGAATTTGACGCAATCGTTGAGCATAGAGCTGGTTCTAGAATGAAACATGTAGATACTCTTAGTCGTTATCCGATTATGGCCATCAGTAAAGAGGACAGCATTGTAACTAGAGTTACAAATGTACAAAAAAATGATCCAGAGTTACGAGCTATTATGGAAATATTGAAGCAAAAGAATTACGATGATTACTTTTTACGTAATAACGTATTGTATAAGTACAAAGATGGCCGCGAATTGCTTGTTATACCACAAGACATGCAAAACAAAATTATCCAGATGGCTCATAGCAAAGGTCATTTTTCAGTAAAGCGTACAGAGGAAATTATTAAACAGGAATTTTATATTTCTATGTTAACAAAGAAGATTGAAAATGTAATCGCCAATTGCGTACCTTGTATTTTAGGTAATAAGAAAGCGGGTAAACAGGAAGGTTTTCTGAACCCATTGGTTAAGAGCGATGTCCCGTTGTATACTTATCACTTAGATCATCTGGGACCATTAGATTCAACTAATAAGAATTATAATCATATTTTAGCTGTTATTGATAGTTTCACCAAATTTATCTGGTTGTATCCGACTAAGTCGACGACGTCCAAAGAAGTAATTGCGAAATTACAACTACAGAGTCAGGTTTTTGGTAATCCATCTAGCATTATCACTGATAGAGGTACTGCATTCTCTTCTTCAGAATTTCAAGATTATTGTAAAGATGAGGGAATTAAACATTCAATGATTACCACCGGTCTACCACGAGCGAATGGTCAGATTGAAAGAGTTAACAGAACTATTATTCCGGTCTTAACAAAATTATCAATGAATGATCCTACCAAGTGGTATAAACACGTATCTAGAGTTCAACAAACATTAAACACTACTTATCAGAGAAGCATTGGTATGACCCCGTTCGAGTTACTAATTGGAGTTAAAATGAAACAAAAAGACGATTTAGCAGTTAAAGATGCCCTCGAAAGAGAATTCCAGTCGCATTTCGAGCAGGATCGTAACCAACTGAGACTTCAAGCTAAGAATCAGATTCTAAAAGTACAAAACGAAAATCGTAAGACCTACAATTTAAGAAGACGTGAACCGACTAAGTACAAAATTAGCGATTTAGTTGCGATTAAGAGAGTACAGATGGGACCTGGCAAAAAACTTTGTGCCAAATATCTTGGTCCTTATAAGGTTGTAAGGGTTAAATCTAACAACTCTTATGATGTTAAACGCGAAATGCCTGGGGAAGGACCCATGAAAACCAGCACATGTGCCGAGTACATGAAGCCATGGGCTAACGTATTGTAATCACTTGGGCCAAATGATTATTCAGGACGGCCGAGTGTAGGGGGACTGATCTCGATTAGTCATGGCAATATTCTATTTATTTGTTTATTTGTATTGCGCGCCTTGAATCGCGTTGGGAACCGTTCTTGCCTCCCCACTCTAGTACCTACGGGACCCTGCGAGGTGGCGAATGAGTTAGTTTAGTAGTTAGTGAGATATAGTCGTAAGACACGCGCTATTAATATCCTTTTTATATAATATAAAATTGTTTTCTACTGAAATAATCCTACAATATTAACACAGACAATTCAAATTAATTATAGAATCTTCTATTTTTCAATACTAAAACTATTTGCTCGTTTATTGTATTTTATTATTCTTTTTACATTTATAATAATATGTATATATGTTGATACAATTAAAACTTTAATTTCAACAACAACATATAACATAACATATAACATACAACATACATAAAATATATAAAGAATACATGAATTTTAACAGAATGAAGGTATCACAAAGATAAGGTATCACAAAAATTCATGTATTCTTTATATATGCTCATATGTTGTATTTTATGCTGTATGTAACGTTATAACGTTTAAATTTTTGTGATGTTTCAGCGATAATGGATACAAAAAGGAGCGAAATTCAATCTTATTACAGAGACAAGACCATTTTTGTCACCGGCGCTTCCGGCTTTATGGGCAAAGTCCTATTGGAAAAGCTGCTGTACTGTTGCTCAGAAATCGACAAAATTTACATCCTTATACGGAGCAAAAAAGGTCACAACATCGATATTCGACTCAGCAACATATTCGATTTACCTGTAAGATATTGTGGAAATCCCGTTAACTCTTTTTTATCTAATGTCGCGTAACAAAATATCATGATATGTATTTCGAATATTTGCAAATGTTGCAATATATTTGTACCTTTAGCTACATTTGTTATATTTTTTAACACTTAATTAAATTTTATATCTACTTAGTAATCAATTATTAATTATTACACAATAATATTAAAACAACAAAAAAAGATTTGCAATAATCATAATTAGTTTACAAAATTTAGTGATTTTATTTACATGATTTTATTAATTTAGTATTCCCTTTTTTTAATTTTTAAAGACACTTAAGTTTAACATATTTATAATAATGTTTATGTTTATATTATTCTATAATAATCTTTTAATTACAACTATAATTTTTGCTACCATAAAAATTTATTACTTAATTTTTATCATAAATAATTCATGTTTTTTAAATCAGG